CTACATGGTCACCGAAAAAGGGCGGACACCAGCAGTGACAGACCTGGGAGACAAGAAACTTACTTGTTGCGGTTCCAGTCTCTTCAGCAAAAATTTGACTAGATTCAATATTCTTACAGTAGCAATCCCTGCCAGCACAGTGCTCAGCAAAAAATTACTAGTTACTTGGATGCCCGTCGTGGTTGCTAAGCCTCTGTCTCGATTGAACCTGTTTACATAGACGCCGGAACCATGGTTACAATTGAGGCAACCATGGGTTATCAGATTTATAAACATGGTTAAGATGCCCAACCACACTGTCCTGTTTACTAAAAAAGTTAGGTTTTTGATAAATGGTTGGCAAACCTGCTAAATATTTATTAGATGGAAAATACTTTTTTAATAGCGTTTAGCCTATTTCACTTGAAGTGGGCTAATCGCGTTGGCTTGTTTAGCACACTTAGCTAAACGTGACTGTCTTGTTTACACAACAAAGATAAACGACTCTGGCCTACTCATAAGTAGGTTTATAACCGTGCCAAAATTGTGTTTTTTTTGTCCGTGGGATCGCTTTTTTTGGATTTTGCTGGCCGTGGAAAGTGTTTGTCGGCGCGCGCGATCGGTTTTTTCAATTTCCGGGCCGTGCTCGATCATAAACATATCAAGCTGGATCGGTTGCATGATTGCTTCATTCCATGGAAAGGGGAGCTGTACCTTTGTACAGTTAGGTTTCGGGTTGCTAGCAGTAGGGAAATGTTGGGACACACATATTCAATTTTTGAAGTCTCTGACACACATATTCAATTTTTGAAGTCTCTGACAATGTGTTTCTAGCGTGCACAATATACAAGGTCATGAAACCGTGCACTCCACACCGATCGCCGGCCCAATGCACCCACTGGTTCGTGAACATTGGCGACATCGAGATTGATGAGGCGCGCCTTCCAACTTGCTTGATTCTTTTCTGTCCTGACTTGCTTGAAGAATGTCTTAGGGAAGATGTCATTTTCTAATTTTTTTTGCACATGTCCTCATTTGATTGCCACAGTTGCGAAACCATTTGTTCGTGCAAGAAGTCCTATAGTTTTGAAAGAAAACATCCTGAAACGTGGATTGGGTTGCACTTGACAGGGCATCAAACAGTTTCATTTTGAACGGAAACGTTGAAGACAATGAACGCAGGGTGTTGGACAAACATTCGCAACCTTTGCGTGAGTGCAGGGCATGCGTTTGCAGCTCGCCGACTTATAGCTTTGGGATCAAAGAGTTGCAAGGAACGCTCATTGTGTGAACCATGGTTGTGAGCACGGAGGCACTGAGTGAGATCCAGGCCAGTGTCACGCAGGCCCAAGATGGGCAACTTGTGCAAGCGATGCACAAGCTCATGAATGCGCTGGCCAAGCACGGTCTGGTCCGGACCATACAGTTGAGACCTGATGAAGTGGGGCGCCACCCGGTTGTCACCCCACGACGTCCATGCACTTGTGGACGGTTTGTCGGAGGTTGGGTGGGACTCGAGAGAGACGAATAAAATTTGTGGGGAAATTTCAGATCCAGATCATGCCATGGTGCTAGGATTCAATGAAGCCTTGGTGACGAGTTCTCGGGGCCTCGTGCCGCCTGTCCAAGCAACCCAAATGCGGTATGCATCGTTGGCAAACTCACATACGAATGCTGCCTTACGATGTTTGGCCCATGAAGTTGCACACATTGGGACAGAGTGTGCGCTGGTGCTTGACGGCAGGCTCTCTATGGCCAGGGCCAAGAGCCATGACCCACAGTTTTTCAAGGCTGCGCAGGAGGGCATGGTTTGGAGGGTGATTGCGAGAGAAGCTCTGGAGATAGATGGCGTGGCCCAATTGATCCAATCAGCTTCCAACACCAGTGGCCATTTACAAAGGGGAGAGCATGAATGGCAAATCTTGCTTCGCATGAAGAGCCTGATTGACAGGTCCACCTCTCCTCCAGAGTGGAGCCAGGTTCGGAAGGAGATCTGCAGAACCAAACTGGCTTGCGTCGAGGCCACACCATACATGTACCAATTCCCCCTGAGATTCATGCACAAGGAGCTCTTGGGAAAGGTCGAGGAAAGAATCAAGAAGAGTGTGAGCTCAAAGAAATCTTTGGGCGCAGACTTTTACATGGCCTTGAGTGGGAACTCCAAAGATTGGAAGGTGCAGGGTCTTTTGTTTCGGCATACGCTGCTGGCTCTGGCCTACGCATCAGACAGGGTGCAGGCCAGCGATTGTCGGCGCATGCTGTCGAAGGATTTCAGCCCGAAACTCACCACCGCAGAAGAGATGTCTACCAAGATCTCGAAGATGTTGAAGAAGGCTGATGTCAAGGATAAGGGCACTGATGTACAGGAAAAGTACGAAGCTTCCAAGACTCTCTGGTGTTGCGAGCCTTGGAGAAGGTCAAGGCTACTCCAGAATCCGTGGCGTGTGAGTTGATGGATGAACTTGAGGAGCTTCTCGGCACGCGGCTTTCCACCGAGTTCGATGATCATAGGAAGACCAGTTCCAGTGCACCTCCTGCAGGAAGCGCGGGTCCCTCAGCAGCTTCGCCGACCGGACAGTTTCAGCAAGAGTTTCATTTAGCATTTTTTGTCGAATGATTGGAACAAAACGATCGTCGCGTAAGTGTTTACAACAGTGTCCTTTGGTGAGCAAATATGAAAACACTGTCATTAGAGTGCATTCCTTGCATTGTTCAGTCACAACTCTTTGTCAAAGCTGAAGGCTCCTGTTTCATTTGATAGAAACTGCCGTCGCAAGTCTTTGTCAAAGCTTGAGGCTCCGTGCGTACGATGAGTTTGGGAAGCTGAAGGATGAGGCCGTGCTGGTGAGACAACACGGTTTTGTCCAGGGCGCTTCGATTGTTCGAAAGAAGGACAAAGTCAGGGCCACAATTGAGAATGTGACGGGCTCGAAGGTCAAATTGTCTTTGGACGCAGAGGGTGTTACTGGATACTTTGAGCTGTCGACCGGATCCTTTTTGAGAGGAGAGGAGAGTGGAAAGTAGTCAAAAAACATCCTGAAATCGCGCAGTATGGTTTGTTTGAAGGGTGAGGTGGCAAGGCGCCTCATTGAATTGGAGAATCAGCATGCCAAAGTCCTTGAGGGTTTGAAACTCAAATGTTCATGTGGGGTCTAAAGAAGTTTGGTGTGTCCATTGTTTTGCAACGCTGAGTCCAAACTGCAGTTTGCATGGTGCACAAACTGCTGTATGCGTCATTGGAGGCTGGTTGGTCGCATGACTTTGAGCCGGGAACCTTGTGTGATAGACAGGGCCAATGAAGAAATGAAGAAGTGTGAACAATGATTTCTTGACAGTAATTATTGACAGTGTGATTGCAAGAACTGTTGGTGGGCGAGCTTGTCATCTTATACAGTAAAACAAGAGTTCTTGCTTGCTTGTGATGTCACCGCAAAGCTAAAGCTTCCTAAACCTTGGAATGTGTGTTGCAGAGTTTCTTGATTTGCAGGGCTTGTCGTATCTCAAGCTCGCACGTCTTGGCAGGGTCGAGTCACTCGACTCGCGCGCAGCTCTTAGACTGCCCATGGCCGACGATGCAGACAGTGAGATTGAAGTGGAGGAGACTGAGGGGAATCCCTTGGATCCAGCTTTCTTTGTCACGAAGCCGACATGGTGCCTCACATCAGGAACAGTGAAGTGGTACCCTGAGATTGACACACAGGGAGGAGTGGATTTTGTGAGGCTGAGCAAATTTGACCGCCATTTTGTCAAGTTCTGTCTGCAGAGGCCCATGGATTTGTCTCGAGGTGTTGGCAGGTCGGCCAACAGCACCCTGTTTGAGGATCTGCTGTCTCTGAGAAAGACCGCCAGCGTCGCCTCAGTGAGTGCACAAATGGAGATGCCTGAAACAGAGGTGGATGACGCGGCAGCAATGACAAAACGCCGCAAGAAACGAGTGCGTGATGAAGATGTGTGCTTGGTTGATCCTGTCGCGACGATTTGGCTCCCAGAGCTTGAGTTCAAAGGTGAAACATTTCCTTCACGCGAAGTCAAGGTGCTGTTCGGGGTGAAGTCCAAGGCACTGTGGATGGAGTTGAGCCATGACAATCTCACGTACACGCGCGCGTGGGTTCAGAAGGGTGAGGGACAAGCTCCTGCGCGGAAGAAGCGGTGCTCGCCAAAGAAGAAGCTTCGACGCGGGAAGCCTTTGAGCCCGTCACCAGAGAAAAAACAAAGGAATTCATTTCCTGAAACCCAGCTCTATGAGGATGAGCCCACTCTGCCCAAGAGCCCAGCACTCAGGTCGTCCCCAGCCTCCATCATTTTGATGTTAGCAGTAGTTAGGCCTGTTTCACAGAGGCCTTTGAGTGGGTTTTTGAAAGGGCATGGATGCCTCGAGTGTGGCGAGCACTGATGTATGGCCCTGCTAGGAAAATTGCGAGCACTGTTGTGTTGGCCCTGCTTTGAGGTTTGATTTGCTGTCAATGTAATCAAGTTCTAACTCACCCGGTCAGTGGCGAACTGGGAGTGGCACTGGGTACTAAAGCAGGCAGACGTTAGATCACTGGCCATGCACAGGTATACCTTTGCATTCCGCGTCGTTCACCGTGCGCGCCGTGAGGTTGTAACCTACCATTGGCGTCGTTCTGCAACTGTCGGGGCCCTCAACTGCTTGATTTTTAGATGTTTTAGATGTCGACCAGAAGGGGAAAAGCTTGCTTGATTTTGAGTAGGTATTGAACGCTTTCAAACGTTGGAGCGATCTTTGGAGCGTCAATGATTGTGGTCCAAACTTGAAGACTCATTAAAGCTTTGAGCACATTGGGACAGTTGCGCATCAACCTTATCGCACGGCTGCTCAAGACGGATGCCATGTTTGGCATGGGCCAACTTGGCATGGCATGTTTTCATGTGTTCATGTGATGATACATGTGCGACGTGATACATGTGCCATTGTATGATGTGTATGAGCCTATACCAGTGCACAGTTACCTCCAATGATTCCAACGATTAGCCTCCAAATACTCCACTCCTGTTCAACATGCCCGATGTCCTTATGGGATACCTCATTAACGACTGCGCCAGAATTAATATACTCACACATTCCCACGAGTGCCAGGTCCACTATAACTTCACGCCACCACTCACGATGCATCCAAACGTTCACAGTTCATCACAATTCCCTCAACCACAGTTCATCACAGTTCCAATGTCCACACATTCCACACTTGGCGGCACACCCCAAGTCGATCTGAGCTGATCATGGCGGAGCGATCCATGGCAGCCACCCAGAATGTGAAGAAGCGTCACGCGGACGCTGCAGGTGGCGTTCTTCAGCAGAAGAGGAAGGTGGATGACAATCAGGCCGACCTGCAGCCGCACGAGCTCAAGGACTTCCAGAAGCCCGGCGACGCCCTGAAGATCCTGGTGAAGCCGCTGAAGGAGAAGGCGGTGCCGGCAGCACCGGATCCGCTGGTGGAGAGAACCAAGAGGCCGTGAAGGCCGAGGAGGTGGTGGAGCCGGAGGAGGTGGTGGAGCCGGAGGAGGAGATCGGCGATGGCCTCGAGAACGACGGCCACAAAAGCCGCGAGGAGGAGGATCAAGAAGACGATCAGGAGGTGGAGGCCGATGAGATGGATCATGGCTGGAAGCGCCATGATGACACCGCCCCATGGCGACGCGGTGGCAAAGGGCAGTGGCACGGTGGCTGGCAGCATGGTGGCTGGCAGCATCGTGGCTGGGGGTGGCAGCAGCGCAACAAAAGCCACACTGGGCGCAGCACGGCTGGCGCCAGGCCAAAGGCCAGGGCAAAGGCAAGCGAGATGAGTGGGGGGGCGAATATGTAGAAGGAGGATACCGTGATGTGGCCGGCAACTTCTACCCGTACCCTGGAATGTATATAGAACCTTTCAACTGACTGTTTGTCACATTGTTCAACAGCCCCGCAACTTCAATGAGCCGTTAGTCCGAACCTTTTCAACTGTTTGCCTGTTTGTCACATTGTTCAACAGCCACGCACCATTGGTGAGCCGTAGTTCAACGACCTATAGATGTTTAACCTGTTCAACGAGCCTGGAGGCCCTGTAGCTACGAGCCTTTTCATCAGGGCCCTGTCATCTTCGTTCGATCGTCTCAGGTATGGCAGCGGCCGCACTCGCAAGCGCACCCCGGGCAAAGGATGGCAGGCTCGGCAGAAGGAGCAGGAGCAGGGCGGCGGCAAAGCAAAGGGCAAGGACAAGAGCGGCGATGATGGCTGGAGCGCTGCCCTTTCGGCGGTGCAGGGTTTGGAAGGCAAACACCAGGCCTCATCTGACAGCTAGATGGCTAAAGGTGAAAAGATGAGGTGAAAACTAGTGCAACATAGTTCAACAAACAACTGTTGGCCATTCCATCAAATTGCGCTCGATCCCTACATAGTTCAACAAACAATTGTTTGCCATTCCAGCAGTTTGTGTTCGAGCTTGGCCATACGCCTTCCACCACAGCGCGTGACATCATGACATGATATGAATGGCTGCCTGGCACGAGCGACTTGGAGGCGCATCGCCATTTAAAGTTACAATGTTTCGCACTTCTCTACAGCATGGAATAGCTCCATGCCAGGCAGCCAACAGAATGTGCAATGACCATGCGCATCACATCATCCACTGGTGCATCCAACCCTCCATGAACTCCAACTCCAACAGTACAAGTCCCAGATGTCTCGGTGGTGGGTGGTGCAGTTTGAATGACTTGGACTTGAAGGACTGCGCACACCTTTTCTCATCTGCGCAACACCGCTCTCGACCTGCCACTGTCTCGCGTGGTGAGGTACACCCATTCCCCATAGCTCAAACAACCCCTCAAGGACACCGCATCTGCATAGGTGATCTGAAGGTGAGACAGAGCGGTGGTGGCAGCACAGGCCACGTGTCATGCCAGGGAGGTTGGATTGAAGGTTCACGTTCGTGGTCGCACATGTATGCACTTGTATCTAGGTGGGTTGAGCAGCATTTCACATCAGGGTGATTCAGTGGTATCGACATGTTTGAAAACATAATCATCACAGTACACGTGTCCTCAAATCGCCACGACAATCGTTGGGGACCCAGGGTGGCCAACATTTATCGATAAAATAATTGCGTGAATCCAGGACTGACCAACATTTATCGTTCCGATAAATGAATCAGGGCTGACCCAACTTTATCGCTCCGATATTTTGTGGAATCCAGGGTGTCCAAACTTTATCGGTACGATAAATTTGTGAATTAAAGATATACAAAATTTATCGCTACGATAAGTTTTGGAATTCAGAACTGTTCAAAACTTATCGCTACGATAAATTTTAGGATCCAGGATTGTTCAAAATTTATCGTCCCGATAAATTTTGCATCAGGACTGCCCAAAATTTATCGCCCCAATAAAAATTGGGAACCCAGAGTGTTCAAAATTTATCGCTACGATAAAATTTGGATTCTGTTGGTCACCAGAGGTTTCTAATGAAACTTTGAGAACACCTAGTTTCAGGTCCATTTTGAGTGAGCCATCCAATTTTGAGTGAGCCATCCAACCTCCAACTGGATCACACAATGCCTGCCGCGCGTGGCGCGTAAAAAAAAAGGAGGTTACTGCAGCACGTACGTCGTGGAGGGGACCTGTGTTGTGGATGTTTCCAACATGGCAATTTCATCCTTTTTGAACGAACTGTGACGAGTTTTCACGAGAGTTTGCACTGGAGGGTTGTCACTAAGTTTCCTCAATGAGTTCAATGTGTTGCTCCTGCACCGTGCCCAGGCCTGACCTTTGCACACTTTGGAGGCTGGAGGGCCGGCTTCGACAGTGAGTGAACGCTAGCGCTACGACGTACCAAGATACAGTTGGACAAGATGCAACGTTGGCCTTACATGTGTAGGCCTGTGTAGGCTAGTGCTGTAAACTGCTGCGCACAACAGGTTCATTTGGGTATGTCTGAGCTGTTTTCTTTTGTCGATGCTCTGATGAACCAATGCTGTCAGCCTCGCTTTGCAAACCACGCCTGTGTCAGGTGTGCTTGAGCTGGGATTGGACTGGGAGTGTGGCTCTCGGAGCAGTTCTTTTGACTTGCGCGCGCATCCGCATTTGACTGAGGCGGTGCGCTCATTTGGCGCAGTCGCAACTGTGGAACTTGCGCAGTCTAGTGATGTCAGGTTCGTGTATACGTACCTTATAGCAGGGTCTATTGTACTCGCTGGCGGGGGCTGTAGGCAGGGCTTTGCACACGGCTCGCCAGCAGCTTTGAACATTCAATATCTGTGACCTCCCTAATCCCAGTGCGAGCTGCTCCATGGCACTTGGCCTGAGTGAGGGACGGTGGCAATACAAGGCGCTCAAACGCCGATCTTCGGCAGATGCCTGGTGGGATGTGCCCGGAGGCTGGCGCCGCTTTCGGCCCGAACAGAGTGAGAAGGTTAGCAAGGCTTATGAAAACAAGCAGGTGGACGCCAGCTTGATGCTTCAAATGCATCCCAACGTCAATTACACATTTACTGTGCATGAGCTCTGCGAGCCCCACGGCATGATCATGACTTCGACCTACAACGGTGGCAAAGCCGCCACAATATGGATCTACTGTAAGCCCGTGAAGCCCGCGCTAGCCACACTGGATACGTTGGAACAAGATGGGATGATGGCCTATACATTTACCAACGCATTGACTGGGACCTGGTTTCTCACAGTCTTTAGAAATGGTACCATTTTCGATATTGCGTGATAGTTGAGAGGTCCCATAATGTTCAATTGGGCCCCATAAAATTCCAAAGGTCCCAGAGGGTGCAATTGTGGACCACTCAGGCTTGGCTCTGGCGAGATCGATCCAGAAGAAACCGTGGCCAGGGTCTACAGCAGGTTCCAAACCGCACTCAAGGAGCCAAAGGTGCGGTCCACGTGGGATGTCAGCATGTCCAAGTTCGTCTGGCGGACCAAAAAGGTGCTCAACTCGAATATGAAAGTGCGAAACCTTTATTTGAAAAAGTGAGTCTGTCGACGAGCAGATTTCCTATGATCATTTGGCGCTGTCGACATGGCAAGAGCACAAAGCCTTGCGGCAAAGAAGCCTTGGATGTGAAAACATTGAAAACGGTTTTTGAGATGCGATGGTCCGATCGTGACAAAAAGAGTGGAGTTGCTGACGTGTGGAAGCTCTTTGTTTCCTACTTTGTTCAACTACTGTGTTTGAAGACTGCCGCATTCCTCGGCGCCCAAAAGGGCTTGGACTGCTTCAAGACAGTCCTGGAGCAGCAATGCGCTGCTTTGCTGCGGCGGTGCGAGCTGTTGCCTCCCATGTCGCCGGGGGAAGCAAGCGGCCTGATTCAGAAGGTCACGGCATCAAGTATCAGCCTGATGTCTCCAGACTGGACTTCAAAGGCCGTGCTGGCGATCGGTGCGCGGGTTGCAGCA